CCTGGATGGACACACGGACAGAGCCCTGGATGGACACACGAACACACAGGGCCTGGATGGACACACGGACAGAGCCCTGGATGGACACACGGACAGAGCCCTGGATGGACACACGGACACACAGGGCCTGGAGGGTGTCCAGGCCCCCGGACAGACACACGGACAAACCCATAGAGCCCTGACCCGGCCCAGCCCAGGAGTCCCAAAATGGGGAGAGGGAGGGGCGGGGCCTGGAGGGGCGTGGTTTGTAAGGGCGTGGTTTGTAAGGGCGTGGTTTGTAAGGGCGTGGTTTGTAAGGGTGTGGTATAAAGGGCGTGATTTGTAAGGGCGTGTTTTAAAGGGCGTGGTTTGTAAGGGCGTGGTTTGTAAGGGTGTGGTATAAAGGGCGTGGTTTGTAAGAGTGTGGTTTGTAAGGGCGTGGTTTGAAGGGTGTGGCTTGTAAGGGTGTGGCTTGTAAGGGCGAGGTTTGGTGATGGGCGTGGTTTGAAGGGCGTGGTTTGTAAGGGCGTGGTTTGAAGGGTGTGGCTTGTAAGGGTGTGGTTTGGTGATGGGCGTGGTTTGTAAGGGGGAGTGGTCTGCCGGTGGGCGTGGTTCACCGGGGCGTGGTTTCCCGGGCGTGGTTTGGTGGTGGGCGTGGTTTCCCGTTGGGCGTGGTTTGGTTATGGACATGGTTTGTGGTGGGCGTGGTTTCCCGGGCGTGGTTTGGAGGTGGGCGTGGTTTGGTGGTGGGCGTGGTTTGGAGGTGGGCGTGGTTTCCGGTGGGCGTGGTCTGCCCGCGCGCGCCGCTCCCTCCCGCCACCAGGGGGCGCCGCACTGAACCCGCGCGCGCCTGAGGCACCGCCCCGTGACGTCAGTTCCGGCCCGTGACGTCAGTTCCGTCCCCTCGACCTCGGCGATGGCGGCGCTGCGGGGCCTGCGGGGCGTCCCGGGGCTGCGGCTGCTGCCGGGCCCCGCGCGGCCCGGGCCCGGCCCCCGCGCGCTGCTGCGGCCCCGCGCCCGCCCCGAGCCCGGCCCCGGCGCGGTGAGTGCGGCCCGCGCCCGCGGCAAGGTCACCCCGCCCCGCGCCGGCGGGCCCGGTGTGCCCCGGTGTGCCCGGTGTGCCCGGTGCCCCCCGCCCCGCTCCGGTGCGCCCGGTGCGCTCCCGGTGTGCCCGGTGTGCCCCGGTCCGCTCCGGTGTGCCCGGCGTGCCCGGTGCGCTCCCGGTGTGCCCCGGTCCCCTCCCGGTCCGCTCCCGGTGTGCCCGGTGCCCCCCGCCCCGCTCCGGTGTGCCCGGTGCGCTCCCGGTGTGCCCGGTGTGCCCCGGTCCGCTCCGGTGTGCCCGGCGGGCCCGGTGTGCCCCGGTGTGCCCGGTGTGCCCGGTGCCCCCCGCCCCGCTCCGGTGTGCCCGGCGGGCCCGGTGTGCCCGGTGCGCTCCCGGTGTGCCCGGTGCGCTCCCGGTGTGCCCGGTG